GTGAGGACCAGACCCTCCTCCTCCACTGCCCCATCCCTGCACTCAAGGTCCTGGCACAAACACTGTCCACTGGGCTGCGGGTGGGGGACTGTGTCTGGTGTGCCTACCCACCACGGCACACCGGACACAGTCCCGTGGAGGGGGCTCTGGGGACGGTGGCGCCCAGTGGAGGCCTCACCTGTCCTTGTGGCACGGAGGTGAAGCCCAGTTTCCTGTAGGAGATGAGAGAGTTCTTCATCGTGTTCACCGTGAAACCGTAGAAGGAGGTCTTGGTGCCCACGTCGTCCTCAAAGTCTTTGATCACAGCACCATTGAGTCTGCTCCAAACAGAGGCCCGTCAGCCGGCCACACTGCAGTCACACCGTGCTGCGTGCTGCCACTTCCATCCCCAGGGTTCCGCCACACCTGTCCCTACGCCTCTGTAGGGACCACCCCCTCTGCTGTGACAGCACCAGCACCTGCTCACCAGCCCCAACCCCACTCCAGACCTCAAGGGACACCCTGTGAACCGAGCCCCCTGGCCCCGGGGGGCTCCTTTCTCCTGGGTCCCCTTGGCAGGTCTGTCCCGCAGGCCTTCATCCGTGCCCACCCGCCCATTACAGCCCCTGAGCTGGCCGCTGAGCTGCCCGGGGCGGCAGCCGCCTTGGCCCCGGAGCTGGTGGGACCAGCTCCCCACCCAGCTCCGCTCCCGCCGCCTCCCGGGCCCGGGCTGCGTACCGGAACACGTAGTCATGGGCATCGATGTTCCGACCCTGGCGGGAACCATTCAGAATGCCTCCGTTACCCACCACGGCACACCGGACACAGTCCCGAAGCCGTTCCCTGGAGGCAAACAGCTGGGCGCTCTCGGAGCCGTTCAGAAGGCCCAGGGTGGAGGCGATGGCTGTGAGCGAGGGACAAGGCGGGGTGCTATGCGGGGGGCTGTCGTGGATCATCGAGGACTGTTTCTGGCACTTAACTTGCCAGAGGCCTGACCCCAGGCCCTCCCCAGAGGCACAGAGGGCGGGAGGGGATGGAACCTCTGGGCCTGAGAATGGAAAGGGGGTGGGGGGGAGTGTGGCTGGGCCCTCAGTGCCTCAGGAACTTGAAAGACCAGCTCTCTGAGGCTGTTCTTAAAGGAAATAATCTGAGGCATGCGGGGGGCGTGGTGCAGATATAACAGGGAGGGCCCTCTGCTCGGAGGTCAACAGGCCGTTTGGGGCTCCAGAAACCCTGTCTTTGGTCACCTTTGGACAATGGCACTTTAGCCCATCATGCCAGGGAGGCTGCTGGGGGAGGGGAGGGCGTGGGCAGCCAAACCCCTCTTACTGACCCCGCGATGCTCGTGGGGGTGGGGAAGTAAAGCGGGAGGTACACAGCTTGAGGGTTGAGCCCCGAGGTCCTCCTGGAAAGGGACATGGGGTTCCCGCATCACGGGCCGTGAGGGCGGGGGGGACCTGGCCTGCACAAGGCCAAAAGCAGGAAGAAGGGACCAGCTGAGGCCAGAGGGTCGGCGGCAGGCAGCGGCCGCAGGTTACCTTGGCGTGAGAGCCCTTGCCAGCCATAGGGGGCTTTGTGCTGGCTCAGGTGGTCCCAGAGCTCCTGGGTGAAGACGCCCCCCGACAGCAGCACTGGAGTGGAGAAATCAAACAGCCCTTGGAAGTGGGGGTGCCGCTGAACGGCGAGATAAAGTGGGTGTCGGCAGGGTAGGCTCTGTGGGTGAGAAGGTAAGAGGGCTAAGCTGTTAGCTGGGGGATTCGGTGGGTGGGAGCCCTCCCAGGAGGAAGACCCTCGAGAAGGAAGAGCCGCCCCTCCCCCTCCGGACCTGGGCCACCCCCAAATCTGTGAGCCCAGTTGCCAGTGACACGATAGCCTAGTAGGGATCAGAGAGCTTTCTGGACTTGCCCTGTCCAGCCCGGGCGTCCTGGTTTTCCCGGATGCCCCATCTCTGGCCTGATGGCTCTGGCTTCCTACTCCTTCACCTCTCACTTGGGGAAACTTGGGGGCATTTGCCCGTGGATGGGTAAGAACCTCGAAATGTGACCTAATTTGGAAATAGGGTCTTTGCAGGTGTACGTAGTTAAAATGAGGTCATACTGTATTAAGGTGGGCCCTAAATCAAGGACTGGCATCCTTATAAGGTGGCCATGTGATGACAGAGGCAGAGATTGAGTGATGCAGCTGTCAGCCAAAGAACAGTCTAGGTTAGGGTTCTAACCTAGACCGTCCTGCTGACACCTCGAGCTCAGACTTCCGTTGGGAGAAACTTTACATTTGCATGCAGAAGTGAGCGTCAGACAAGTGGCAGCTTGTGAGTTACTGTGAAGTGACAGTATTGTGTACCACGTGTGAGGAAGCCCATGGAGTGTGCATGTGTGTGCACGTTGTGTATTCCTACGTGGCTCCCTTGGGCTGGATGTGGTTTTCTGCATTTTAACCCAGCGTGCTCACTGACCGAATCACTCGGAAGCCGCATTGTTTCGTAAGGTATCTGTCTTGTTGGAACAAATTCATGTTCTCAAAGCAAGCATTACAGCAGAACTGACTGTAGTAGTTCCGCTAACATTCAGTTTATTGCCACAATGTTTTCCAGGGCCTTCTTCATGAGGCTCCGGGAGAAAGATCTCCAGATCTCTGCGTCAGAAGAGGCTGCACTTCACCTGGGCAGCTGGCTAGCTTTTCCCTCATGACCATGGAGGCGGTTTCCTTCTTCACCGTGACCGCCAGGGAGCTCACAGCCAGACATATGGCCCATCTCTTACACCTTGTGGCTCATTTTTCGTGCACTCATCTGATGTCTCATTTTCCTTCACCCGTTTCTTCATTTTATTCTATTTAATGTTTTTGCCTTGTTACATGTTACTAAAAGCTACCTCACGTCATTTTTTTAAAACCAGGTGGGGATGTATGTCATTTAGTGTCAAGCAGCTCCAGGTGGAAAGGACTTGAGGCACGTAAAGATGGATCAATCACTCATGAGATACCTGAGGCCAAGTGCCTACCAGGCCTCTGTCCTCAGGACACAAGGCTATTTGCTCTGCCTCTGAGCAGCTCAGCTGTTATTAAGTCTTATGTTTCTCCCTGAGGCCAGGGAGAAATATTTCAAGTTCCAGTTTGGTCTCTTGGGCACTAAAAACAACTCTTAGACCCGAACTAACTCCGAACAGCGTGGTCACCACCCTGCTTGAGCACAGCTCACAGAGCGGGTGAGACTGTATCACTCGGTGGTTCAGAGCCAGCTCTGGGGTCGGGATCACCTCTTCTCCCTGAGTGACCCCGAGCAAGGTACCTGACCTCTCTGTGCCTCATCTCGCTCACCTGTAAAGGCTGCCTAACAGGTTTGCCAGGAGGCTTCAGCCAGAGAACACAGAGAAAGTGCCCCAGGTGGTCCTTTAGCCTACGGGTCACCAAGGAGCAGGACCCGGAAGGTTCTCAAACCCTCAGGGCGAACGGGGAACATCTTCCCAGGGTTTGGTGTTTACACCATGGTGAGCAGTTCGAATGTGACTTTTATAGTAGGAAGACATTTTGAGCAGCAGAGTGCCAAATTCACAGGCTTTTTAGAGATAAATCACAAGATTTCCGAGAAACGTTTGGCTGGCTGTACTCAGGGGTACACATGGACTCAATCTCCTCTCTTGGGGTATGGGGAGCCCTGGCAGGCAAGTTGGAGAGGTCCTGATGGCTGGCTCCTGTGCTTCCTGCTTGGGGTGCGGTGAGGGTGGGGGTAGGATGGGGTGGCATGGGGCTTGGTGGGGGTGGGGTGGGGCGAGGGGAGTCCAAAGAGCCCCGCCCCACAGACTCCCGAGCCTGGTCCCCTTTGTTTGCTCTTCTCTTTCCCCTCCTCCAGATAACTGGAGGATGCTCAGAAAATTGCGGAGTAGCTGAGCACTGTACCTTTCTCGTCCCAGAATCGGTCGCTGCCTTGGGTCCAGAGGATGCTCGAGGTGTGACGGTGTTCCTGGGGGAGAAAGCACAAGTCAAGCAGGGTCTGACCCGCCCTTCGGAACCTTCCGTCAGACTCTGTTAGCTCTGGGGGCTGACAAAGTCTGTCAAGGTCAAAGGCATCCGTTCCTTTAATCCTACTTCTGTGCTCTGGTTCTTGCCTGTGTCTCTTTAGGCACACAAAATCCTGTCACATTATTAGCTTCTCCCGAGCTGTGGAAACCTGGACATCGAGAAACTCCTTGGCAAGTGGCAGAAATGGGGAGTTTATAGGAACAGTAAGAGGGTGGTTAAAGATGAAAATAGACAATAGGAACGCTGGCCAGGCCCCTGGAATTGTGACTGTCCCAGGGGTCTACCTGCCAAGGCCCCAGAGCAGGTGTTCTGTCCTGGATGACCTGGGCCTCCTGCACCTGGCTCCTGCCCCAGGCGTCCCGGTGAAGGGTGTGGATCCGAAGTCTGACTCTCTGGGTTTGTATCCTATGATCTTGGGAAATTACTAAACTTCTCAGAACCTCGGTTTCTGCATCTAGACTCAGGGACAATCATATTGATATGATTGGTAATCATATCACGTATCATCCAATTGATGCGCGCGTTCAGACAGAATCTACGTTATATAAAGTGTCCTCTAAATGTTAGCTATGGTTACCTAAAGGAAAGAGGGAAAGGACTTTGTTGTGACAGCCTCTGTGACGGTTCCTTCTGCAGGGAGGTAAGGGGCTAATGTTACTGCCCCCCTGCCCTCCCCCCCGATGGCCCCAGCATCCGGGCAGAGGGGGACAGAAAGGAAGGAAGAGGGTCCCCTGCCTATTCAAGAGGGTGTCGGTGTCCTCTCAGACTCTTGTCCTCCCCCACGGCCACAGGGAGCAGGTGGGGAGGTTTGGGATGGGCAGTTTGCAAGGGAAACAAAGGCCCCTTGTTACCTGGTACTTGGTGCTGAGACAGCTGAGTGATGGAAGTCTGCGACCTGCCCAGCTCCAGGTTTCCCTAAGACACTGGAGGGGCAGGGCAGAAAGCCAGGGATGATCCTTTCCCCCTTCCCTCCCCTTCTCCCTGGATGGGCCACCTGTCCACCCACATAATCCCCGCAGTTCCTCAGCTTAGAGCACAGCAGGACCCCCGGGAGGAGGAACTGAGCCGGGGCATTCAGCCTAGTGGGCAACAAGAAGCCCCAGTGACCTTTTGAAAACTCACCTAGGCTGAGGCCCCACCCCTGAGATTCTGATCTGATTGGTCTGGGCTCCTCCCCAGGTGACTTTAACGTGCGGTCAGACTTCAGGGCCTGGCAGAGGACCTGCTGACCAGGGCAGGGTGCAGCCGGGAGGGACGGAGTGGCAGTGGGCATGGCGGGAACTGCTCCTGATTCAGTTCTGCTGCCCGGCCCATCTCCTGGGCACCCCTAGGTGCTCAGCGACTCCTCCCAGTCCCTCACTGCTCTTAGGGCTTCTAGACACCTGCCTGGGGAGCCTGGGAGGAGGCGGGGAAGGGGCCAGCCTAGGTACGCCCCTCGTGGAGAAGTCTCCACAGCCCGGGGAAATGGGACAATGTGGTACATTTTTCATAAAATGAAATTTACTCAACCTACATCATATTCTTAGGAATTCTTGGCCCTAAAATGTCCTTTCTTTTACAAAAGAATGTTGACAATAGATGGTCACTGGTGCCCAGTATCTATCCTCACCTTCCTCCATAAAATTTTTTTCTTTTTATACAAGTCTAGAAATCCCCACGGCTGGGAACCACTGATCCAGATTCTTCTGTGAGTAAACTCCTGGGTAGGTTCCACTCTAAGCCGTGAGAGCCCCCACCTTGGGCTGGAGACCTGGTCTCAGCCCCTTTGTCCCCTGGCCTCTCCATCATAGCCAGGCAGGAGCATTTCCGGGCCCACGCAGGGAGGTCCCTCAGCAGTCTCCCCTCCCAGAATGCCATCCCTGCTCCCACCTTGCTTTTCCGGGCACTCAAAAGGCCAAGTCCCAACCTGCCCCTGGGATTTACTACCACACAAAAGTCGGGGAAACAGCAAGGAAATGGACAGGTTCTTAGGTTGTACTAGATTTTCGAAAGATGAAAAGATCTTTAAAAAGAAAACGGATGTTCAACAAACTCATCTTTAAAGCCGTATTCGTCAAAAGACGTTGACTTGGGTTTTAAAACATCTTTACATGAAATGGACAAGGGTCCCTTCTCTTAGTACCCTTACCCCTCTCTGGTGCTTCTTGGGCAGTTTCTGACCACAGGGAGATCCAACACCTTCAGGTATCACCTGCTAGAGCGCTCTTTGTTACAAAGAGACTGGACTCGTCATCAAGCTGCAAGCTTATTTTGTATTGTTTTGCAACTTCGTGTTAAGGGTGGAAAATTTTTCAAGTGAGCCAACTAGCTAAGTCAGCTACAGGGAAGAAATATCTTTAGATACCAGAAGTTGTCCTATTTGCTTGCGTGTGGTTTAGGAAGAGTATTGTATAAGATATAAAGATGGGCAAAGTCTGCTTCTGTAATCCATTTACTTGTTAATTAAGGGTGTTGTTCCCGGCAAAGCCAACTTCCACTTCTGTAATCTGCTGGCTTGTTCAGGAGACCACCAGGATCTGGTCTTAAGCTTTATCAGCTGCCTCCTCTGAAAGCTGGGGGCTGATCTCCTCTAGCCCTGCGTGGGAGAGAGTCAGTCGCCGGCCGGCTAATAAAGGCTCATAATTAATCTCAATTGGCTCCGTGGGTCTCAGAATTGTTCGCGCCCTAACATTCAGGTGCCCTCTGACCTAGTTCCCTGAGGACAGATAACCGATTATGCTTTCATCCCATTATCCCGGAGCAAGGTTTAGTGAGGAAGGAACAGGCAGGTGGGAACGCGCAGGGAAGGGAAAGCGGGGCGCAGGGAAGGGAAAGCGGGGCGCAGAGGCCTCTCTGCAAGGCTCCCCTGCAGCCTCCCATTCCCAGAATCTAAGCGTGGCTCGACCGCCTCCCAGAAGTCAACTCAATCCTTGGGAGGCTTCTTCAGTAACTGGAACCATCACCCACCAAAGGCAGGCTCTCAGGTGTCTCCTCGCAAGACACAAAAGAAAAGAAGGAGCCCAGGGCAGGCCGGAGGGAGCGGAGCGCGGGAGGCGGCTCGGCGAGGAAGACTTGGACCGAGCCCAGAATCCGCGCCGTTGCCCAGGGAGTCCGCCTCTCTGCCAGATCTGGCCCAGAGGGTGCTGATCGTGTACACCGAGCAAACAGAGCGCGGGGCGAGAGGGAGCCGGGGCAGGGACCGAGGCGAGCGGGAAAGGCGACCCGCCCCAGCCCAGCCGTGGATCCCGGCGACGCTGGAATCGGGAGCCTTGGGTCCCTGCCCCCAAAGTAGAGTCTGAAAGAGGTGACGTGACCGAGGGAGAGTTCCCTGCAAAAACGGGTCTGTTTGTTTTGGATCCTGATGACCTAGCCAAATCTGGACGGTAGAAAGGGAATTAATCCATAAGGCCGTTGCGAGCTGACCGCCGGTGCGCAGGGGCCAAACTTTAACGCCGCGGTGGAGGTTCCAGGGACAAAGATCCGCAGCCGGGGTCCCCGCTGGGGGCCACCCCAAAGAGGCCGGTGCGGAAGGCGACCCGAAGCC